TTATTTATTTTTTCACTCTAGGTGGACCTCGTCTGCCTCTGAGATGGCAAGAAAAGAAAGTATAATAAAGCGGCCTTGAACCTTTAAAAGTATAGAAATAAATAACCAATCCATTATTGGTTGAATGATAAAAAGAGTATGTTTTTAAAAGCCATGAATTCATTAAACTTGATATATAAAAACTTATTTAACTCGGTCCAATATATATATATATATATATATATGTATATATAGATAGATAGAGAGAGAGAGAGAGAGAGAGAGAGTGGGGATAAAGTTGAAGAACCGTTCGCCCCTCAAAAAAATTCAAAGTTGCGTCTATATTGTGACTGACTGGGAGAGTACTCGGTGCAAACCAGCTAATGAGGGAGAGGTTGAGAAAGACATATAAAGAAGACACAGTCTCTGTCTGTGGCGCAATTCAAGGAGGGCAAATTGAACTTTAAGGTAGCTTCGCAACTGCTCCTGATGATTGTGCTATTCCCTCACCCCCACACCTCTTCAAAAGCTTTAACTTTGCACCCAAAAACTACCCCAAAACTTGAAAGACTTGATTATTGATTAACCATTTGCTTATACAAAGCCTCCATGGTCCCTGAATATTGTTCACTCCCATCTCATCACAATCACCTTCTCTAATCTCTCTCTTTGTCTCTGTTTCGGTGGTTTGATAAAGAACAGAAACCATGATTCCAGCATGCTTCAGCCATGCTAACACACTATCAAGCGGCTCTGAAGTGCCTCAAAACCTCATCACCAGCATTTACCAAACTCAACTTTACAACTCGCCCACTTATCTCACACTTACATGGTCAAAAACCCACTTCTCCCATTCCTTAACAATCTATGCTGCTGATTCCTTCTCCATCACCATTTCCCTTTACCCATCAACCTTCTCGTTCTTCAGAAACCGACCAGGCTCAAAATCCATCTTTTTAGCCCACCATCATTACCAAAGAATCAAGCTATACTGGGACTTTACCAGGGCTGACTTTGCTGAAAACTCAGCTGAGCCAGAGTCTGGTTTTTATATTGCCATTTCATGCAATGCCAGGCTAGAATTCTTCCTTGGTGATCTCCAGGATGAACTGACTAGGCGTTCTGGGTTGATCATGGATCGCCAAGTACTCCCAGAGCCAACACTATTGTCCAGGAGAGAACATGTGTTTGGACGCAAGAGTTACATTTCAAGGGCTAAGTTCTTGGGGTCCAAACATGAAATAGGCATAGAATGTAGTGGAGGTGTTCTCAAGGTAAAAGTTGATGGTGAAACAAACCTTGTTATAAAAAGATTGGCATGGAAATTTAGAGGGAATGAAAGAATTTATGTTAATGGAACTGAAGTAGAATTTTTCTGGGATGTGTTCAATTGGGTCAACAGTGAAAATAATAGTAATAGCAATGGCCATGGTGTGTTTATTTTTCAAGTTGGTGATGGTGGTGTATGGCCCGAAATGGTAGGGCCAGAGAAGCGATTGATGAGGAAGAGCTTGTCATCGTTGGCAGGACCGAGACCGATGCTACCGACAACTTTATCCCCGTCTCCGCCGTGTTCAAGTGTGCTGCAATGGGCAGAAGAGAGCAGTGATGGTGGAAGAAGCTCATGCTCTTCATCTACTAGGTCATATGGGAGCAATGGGGGATTCTCTTTGTTGTTGTATGCTTGGAAGAAGGATTGAATTGAAAATTCTGCTATGTTAAATTGTGAAAATTGATTGATTTTTATGTGAGAAAATATTTGAATTTGAAGATTATATATTCTCCATGGTTTGTGATACATATACTAGTAATAAATAACATTCTATATTATTTTTGTTGTAAATTCAGTCCATTTCTTATGACTATATATGTATAACCTTTATCAACTATTGATTTTTTTTTCTTGGAACATGAAGCAGGTTTCATTTACTTCAATTTACAAAATCAACATGAAGGTTTGGAACAAAAAAAAAAAAAGAGAGAAATGCAGCCCATTAAACAAGAAAATAAAAGATAAAAAGGATATGAAAATATGGAATCAACCTTTGCATATTTGGCACTGCCCATCAGGTGGACCCTGGCTAATGTTAACCATCAAATTTTGATAGTAACATTCTACCAAATTTTGGATTTCACTTCAAAAGAAAAATGTTCTGCTTCTATGAATTTGTTTCTTCTTTTGCTTTTATTTGTGTAAAATTGGAGGAGAATGTGTTTTTTTATTATCATGATCTGGAGGCAAGAGATCATCTGTTTTTAGCATGTCATAATTCTGAAGGTATTTGGAGGCAGATTCTGCAGACTCGTAATGTCCAAAGGGTGATGGGTGACTGGAATTGGCTGGTCAGGATGTCACCTCAAGAGTTTAAGGCAGTAGATAAAGTGCATTAATCTCGCGTCAGATAAGTAGATAAAGTGCATTAATCTCATGTCAGATAAAAAAAGAATGATATATAAGTATTGATTCTGTACATCTCAATAACTGATTTTACTGATAGAGAATAATGCTCACGTGATAAATGATATTAGATCAACTCTTGACTCATCCGATTCCATGTCACGTGTCTCAGCCTAGAGTTAGGCAGGGTGAACCAGTCTGGCCACTTAACAAGATGCCAAGATATGGCACAGTGGCAAAAAATTTGATCACGTCAAGCACTTCAAAGAGAAGTAGATAAGGTGACAACCGTGACAAAGACATCACTAGGTGTGAGAGAATGTTACACCAAACATTCAAGGGAGTGAATAATGCGCATTAATCTTACATCAGAAAGAAAAAGTTATTGAATATATAAATATTGACATTGTACATCTTAATGAATCGATTTTGCGAGAAAAAAGTAATAACCACGCGACAAGTAAGCTTAGCCTTAATTTCAGTAATATTGGTTATTGTTTGGAATGCCTGCATCAGTCAGATGCGGGGAGAGAGGAATAGATGGAAGTATAATCTGAATTGAAGACAGTGTTCACAGCATCAGGTTTGCCATAAGATTCAAGAAGCTGATCCTGTTAACAGTTGGTCTGTAGCAGTTTATCTGCTTCTTTGGGTAATGAAATTTCACTAATCCCAAAAAACGAAAAAAAAAAAAAAAGGAAGAGAAACCCATGAAAGATTTCATACAAATGAGATTTTTCTGAAGAGAAAATTCGATGCACTTTGGGTTCAACTCAAAGCAAAGTCAAATACTACAGAGACATTGGCGCATGCATGCTCATTGTCATTGCCCCACCATACGATTCCATCCATCCCCATATCCATCATCACGACCTAGGATTCTCGAATAAACCATCACTTCAAATCCCATACCAGAATTTGAAAATCCTTCTAGCTGTAAGTAGCTACTAGTTGCCTTTTTCTGCATAAACTATGGACCTTCTACGCCACAACATGAGGAATTGAGGAGCTCTTGTTCCTACTTTGCAAGCCATTGATATATCTATCCATAGATTATTGTACTCAATTGTTCTTGATGGCATTGTTAAACACTCTAATCATTACTGTTAAACACTCTAATCATTACAGATTCACAATGCTATGCTTTTGCCAACCATGGCAAGCTTTCTTTCTCTTTTCATTTTCTTTTTCCTTCCTTTGTCTAATTGATTTGATGATTAATGAAAGTTCTATGAGCATTTTACTCTATAATGAATGCATAATCTTATTCAAAAAACAAATCCAGATCTCACTTGCGAGTAAAAGACAATTTTGCCACATTAAACTTGAAGCAGATTTGTCTATATGCATGTGCTTATGTGTTGGCAAAGACCGGGAAGCTTAATGGCTGATGATTTTGTAATTCAGAAATTGCTCCCTACTTGTATTAATCTTTTTGTGATATAATTAATACAAAAACTAAGGGAAACAAGTTAAAAATTGATTGGATTACTATTTTTTAAAATCCGTACAATATTTTTACTTTTAATTTTAATAAACAAAATTCAAAATTTGTTAATCTTAATTAAAAAATAACTTGAAAATTTATTTGTAACGTAAATAAGCAAATGGATACTAAATTTTATAAACTATTTTATAGTAACAGTGATTTGTTGCTTCTTGAATAATAAAATTACAATTTATCTATAAAAAAAAACCGAAGATCTGAACAATACTGCTACTGAAGAAGCAAACAGATCAAGTAGGAAAATATTTGCTCGACTATATTTTTGCTTACTATTTGCAGGCCTGAAGTGGCTTCTCCCCTTCCCATTTTGTGCCTTCAGGTCGAAGAAAAGTCCCTTCTAACTAGATTTAATAATTTAAAAAATAATATAATGATACGACATAAATAAAAAATATAAAAATAATATGATTTAAAATTTTTTAAAAATTATAAATAAATTTAATAAAATTATATTTTATATTTTTATATTAATATAAATTATAACATAAATATAATAATTTACATGATACAATAACATGAATTATCAAATTTACTTATAATTTTCAAAATATCCTCGTGGATGGCTAACTGCAGTTGTAAAGCATAACTACTTTCTCTACAGTAGCTAAGGCTTATAGACTTAATAGTGTACCATTAAGTTACAATCTTTCATAATAATCTTAACAATACTACTAACTCGAATTCATATAAGATGAGATCAATATATAATTAACATGATATCAATAATTTTGTAAGATGGAATAATGTACAAATATATAGTTTACGATGAATTATTTAAAGTTTAAATAATCTTAAATTATATTTATTTTAATTGATCCAAATAATCATATTTAAAAATAAATATTTAATAGATTTAAAATTCAATCTCAATGTTTATAATTTATATATCTATATCTATATTACAAATTATTTTGTAAAAAAAATTATAATCATTTAAGTTTTGATTATTTTCAAATAAAAAATTTTTTTTATTTAGAATATAGTATCGAATTTGGAAACATTTTAAGTTTAAATTATCTCAAATTATTATAGATGTAGATCTCTTTACAAAAATTTAGAAGTGACGTGACAAATCTATAAATAATTCATAATAAAATCAACATAGAAAATGACTTGCCATTTGCCATCTACGTTTCAACGTGTTTATCAAGAATTCCATTGATTCCCACTCTTAACAGCCACTTATTCCTCACTCCTTTGCTTTCTTCCTGAGCTCACTTCACTTCCTCTCTTCCCCCACCACAGCACCATGGCTGATTCCGCCACCACGCCTCCACCCTCTCTGAAAATCATCGCCGGAGCAGACTCCTTCGGAGCCGAGCTAAAAGACGCGATGTTATCCCACCTCCGCTCCCTCAACATCGAAGTCGAAGACCTCGGCACCACCTCTTACTACAACATCGGCGCCGAAGTTGGCCGCCGAGTGTCCTCCTCCACCACTTCCCCCGCCGTTGAAACCCGTGGCCTTCTCGCTTGTGGAACGGGCGTCGGAGTCGGGATCTTCGCCAACAAATTCCCCGGCGTGTTCGCCACCACATGTCTCACTCCGGACGAGGCCCGCAACAACCGCTCTATTAATAACTGCAACGTCTTGGCACTGTCCGGCATGTCAACATCTATAGATACCGCCAAGGAAATCGTCGACACGTGGCTCAACACCACTTTTAAATCGCCGTGTCCGGCCTCTAAGTCTCAGCCTTGGCCCGAGGAAATCTCGAAATTTTTCGATGAATCGATGACTGAGATGCCAAAAATCGGTACTTCTGAAAAAACCCAAGCTGAATCTTGTGCTATTTGTTGTTTGGTTAAGAACAGGGAGTTGAATCCAATCGATATAATCCCCGGTGGGTCGATGAAGATATTGAGAGAAAGTCCCACATCGGCTATTGTTAGATTCAAAGCTGGGAGCGTAGAGCCAGCCCATCACCATACTTTTGGGCATTGTTTGGTGGTGATGGAAGGGAAAAAAAGTGTTTGGAATCTGACTAAAAAGGAAAAATATGATTTGGATATTGGGGATTATTTGTTTACTCCAGCTGGGGATGTTCATAGAGTGAAATACTATGAAGATACTGAGTTTTTCATCAAATGGGATGGGAAGTGGGATATGTTCTTTGATGAAGATCTTGAGACTGCTAAAACCGCTGTTGAGAAAGAATTGGCTAATGGATCTGCTTGAAAGAATAGAGCTTTCCTTCTGCGATCTTTGATAGATGGGATGTAATCTATTTCATGTTGTTCCTGTGTTTGATGCTAAAGTTTTGTGTAGAAGGATGAGTTTGTATTGTTGTATAATACCCGAACTTGTTGTGTATGAACAATAAAGTTGATGGTTTTATATATCAAGATTGCTACTTCAGTTATAAGTTACTGCCATTACTTGATTATTTCTGATGTTTGTTCTGCATTGGATCATATTTATACTGTTTTGGTTGTTAAATTGTTACATGTTGATTCTCTGTTTTCTGCTATGTCCTCATAGAAGCTCTTCAATTCATTATATGGTGTCTCCTTTTCTTCCAAGCTGACAAAAGCAGACAATCAAGCTACTAAACAATTCACTGGACAGCACTTTCCATTCAAGGCATCCCAAAATCTCATATCCGAGCTATAGTTTCCTTGTAAATTCAACTAAACTGATTACAATTCAGTTCACTATGCTATTTACAAAAACACACACACAAAAGATCCCAGAAACCATTAACAATCATGTCAGAAACATCAGTGTCTAAAGAAGACTTCACAGAGAGCCTTGGAGACTTCACCCAATCCACTGAACTCAAATCAGTGTCTGCAAAAAGAGCAGAAGCAGAAGCAGAAGCCATGGATAACACCAAAAAATGGGAACTTTTACCCTATTTCTTTTATGCTATAACAAGTAATAAAATCTTTCTTTGATCAACCAAAAATTATATAAAAAAAAAAAGGGAGAGGGAAGGAATCTAGAGATGCTTAAAAGAGGAAGATTTGTCAGATAATTAAGATGTAGTAAAAAAATCAGTTGGAAGTTGAAAACTTAGAAAGTGTAGAAGAAATGAAAAAGGACCTAATGTTGGTTATGTGACATAATGGACCAACCAACCAAAACCAAAACCAAAACCAAATTTTTATCTTCAGATTAACGGTACTAAAATATGAATCTTATTCAGTTTCAAAGATGTCTTTAGAATTAAACAAACATTTTATAATTTAATATATGTTTTACACTCAAATTTTTTCATTTTTTATCTCTTAAATTTACAAACAATTGAAGAAAATTATTTTTTTATATACTTTTCCCTCCTTATTTCCTTTTTTTTTTTTTTCCAAACATGACTTTAACAGCTCCACGTGGCATAATAGCTTGTTGCGTTCGAACGCAAAACCAAACGAGATTTGCATCGAGGTATTCCATTTCCTAGCCGCGTTTGGGATCAAAACGTCCATCAAAACACGCGTTTGGACAACCGCAAAAAAGTTCTCGTTTGCGATTCATCACGTTCTCAAAGCAAAATCTCTCTTCGGTTTTACCTCATGTATAAACAATAGGATTTGCATCCCATTTCGACCCAGGTATCAATTTCCTTTAATAGATTTTTCTCTTTTTTTCAATTCACCAAATTGATTTCGATTTTCTATTGTAATTAAAAGAAATCGGTTCCTTTGTGATTTTCATTTTTGGGTTTTTTTATTTTAATGCTTTGGGGTTAAGAGGTTTTGCTTATTTTATATTGATCTGCAATTTTTCTCACATGGTTCTGTTAGTTCTATGTTTGTTCTTTCATGGCTTGAACAATTTGACTTTATTATCTAATTATTAATATACTATATTAGGCCTTCAAGGATCTTCATAATGCATTTACAAAGAGCCTTTATAGAGAGCTTAGGATTGTAGTTTCTTCTTATCTTCAAGCTGTTGAGTGATTAGCATATACTCTTTTTTTTTCCCTTGTTGTGTGTCTGTCTGTATCTATATCTCTCTGTCTGTCTGCATGTATGTATGAATGAGTGTGTATATTTATGTATGAATATTTAGTTGTATGTCTGTCTGCATGTATGTTAGAATGAGTGTATGTTTTTATGTATAAACGTGTGTTTATGTGTGTATATATGCATGTTTCTGCATGTATGTACGAATCTGTGTATGTGCATGCGTGTGTGATGTGTGATTTGTTATATACATATCATTCATATGTTTGTATTTATACGAGTGTTAATTTTTGCAAGAGTATCGAATCCAGTTCAACTCTTTTATCTGATGGTATATACACCTACTGTTGGGCCAAACACACATACACACACACACACATCTGCAAACCTACATGAAATCTCTCTCTCTCTGCTGCATCTTATTGGTAACTCTTGTATTTTGTTAACTGCAATGGAAGAATAAGTGGTGAACTGAAGTTTTATTTGCTTGAAAATACCATGCAGTTATATCAGAAAAAGAGAGTAATTCTGATGGGTTGACTCTTAACAAAGAGAAGAGAGTCCCAAATAGTAGTTCTTTTTTAGTCACAAAACAAAAAACAACTGTCACGTGCAAATGTGATTGACTGATATTAGTATGACTGTATTGACATGACTCTGGAATGTTGTTGGTTTGGACACTGTTATGTTTAGTTGGTTGATATGTGATTTTCTGATTAAGGAATAACTTTTTGTTGGGTTTGTTTTCTTTGAAATATGAACTTTGATGATCTTAACAGAAAGGGAAATGGTGTATATTTGGATGATTTTACCAGAGTTTCTCAGCTTCTGCGTTCTACTTCCCTTATGCCATTTTTTATTATTATTTTTGTATTTTTATTACCGGCAAGTTTAGAAGTGTTTTTTTTTTTTTTTTTTTTGAATAGATTTGTTATAGATGAAGAATGCTAGAATTGTTACGACAGAGGTTCCTCGAGGTAAGAGTAATGACAAAACCAAGGCAGTATGGGACAGGAACTTAACAATGATATTCTGTGATCTTTGTATAAAGGAAAAAGATCATAATTGCAGGAGAGGAACTTATTTTAAAAAGGAAGGGTGGTCAAGGTTGGTTGCAAATTTTAACAAAGAAACTGGTAAAGAATATGAAAAGTCACAGCTGAAAAATAGGTGGGATCTATTGAAAAAAGAATGGAAGCTATGGAAGCAGCTCAAAGTGAATCATACCTGTTTGGGGTGGGATCCGAGAAAGAACAATATTGATACTTCAGAGGAATGGTGGGAAAAGAAGTTAAAGGTACATGATTGATGCTCATAACAAAAGGTTTATTGATCTTTTTTTCTAATTTCTCAATATATAAGGTCAATAATGCTCATGTTTAAATGCACAGCTCATGCCTGATGCTACAAAGTTCAAAAATGGTGGTATTGATCCAGAACTGGAAAACAAATTGGATTGGATGTTTCAGGGAATACCAGTCAATGATGACATAACTTTGGCACCAAAATTTGGTTTACCGTCGAGTGATGGAACTGATGATGATGAACCACCTAAAGTAGAAGTAGAGGTTGTCGCTGTAGAGGATATTCAAATGCCAAAAAAGGCAATGGATGAACATCTGAATGAGATAGATAACCATTACATGGAACAGAATCCTCAGCCTCAGTCTGAATCTGAACACCAGTCGGAGCCACCACTGCTGAAGAAGAGGTCCCCAGAGTCAGACTCTTCTCATCTCAACAAGGGTAAAGAGAAAGTACCAAAAATTGTTGGGACAGTTGCAAAACTGTCCAGGCAGATTGATAAATTGTGTAATGCAGCTGAGAGTATGAGCACGGCAACTTCAACCAAGTTGACTTTTGAGCCATACAACATTCCCGAAGCAGTTCGATTGCTGGATAACATGGAGGATGAAGTTCCAAAGAAGAGCCAATTATATTATTTTGCCACAAAACTGTTCCTTAACAAGGACAAACGGACGATGTTTATGTCATTATCGACTGAGACTAGAGCTTGGTGGCTTAGAATGGAGATGGAGGAGAGCTCCAAATTTGCTTAAAGCATTCCAAAAGCAACTGTGGATGCTGGAAGCAATAGCGTTGTATAGCTTTTATTTCAATGTACTCTGATCAAGTGATGATGATGACGCTAGGAACTTAACTGATGGATGCATAGCATCCAGCTTAATTATCATCTAGGACCCCTTTTGTCTTTAGGTTTGTAAGAAATGGCTTTGTTTGGAGCATAATCATCCTTTTCTGTTTAGTTATTGGATGCTATAAATTGTAGAACATGGGGAATGTATTGGATTGTTTGAGGCCTCTAACAAAGGCTGGATTACACCCTAAGTCCAGAGAGCCTATCTTGGCTTCACCAAACTTGACCAATTTCTGTCAAGTTTGGTCCAATTGAACACCCATTTAAGCCCTTTATGGAATTTTATGCATTTATTTTCTGACCTTGAAATGTTAAATTTGTGGGGTTGAAAATGATGAAAAAAAAAAAGAAAAAAAAAAGAAGAAAAGCTAGCAAAGAGTTTGGAAGTATAATGATAATCTAAACTTTTTAGTGATAATGGCAAATCTTGATCACCACAAAACAAGAAAGGCAGATGATTTGCTTGTCTATAAAGATATCAAAAAAGATAACAACCAAAAAGAGAATTTAAATTATATTATTGTCTTATATTAATAAAAACAATTAAATTATACAATGGATAATTAGTTTACCCTAATAAAAAAGGATCATCTCTAAACAATACAAAAACTCATAAATTATTTATATGATTTCTTTTTTCATGAAATATATATGATTACTTTGAATAAACCAGAGATTTTTAATTTTTTATGAAATTACACATACAATGAAACTTGAATCCAAATGAAATCGTAGTACAGTACTGTGAGAATGAATCTTTATCGTATTATAAGTGAAAATCGAACAAATCCTAAAACTCAAATCTCTTTCTTTATTTTTTGTTAAATTGTTTTATATTTATTAAAAAAAAAACTAAATTCAAACTATAAGAATTATTATGTTTACATTAAATTAAATTAATTTTAACATTTTTAGTTAATTTAAAGTCATTTTTTTATTATTTTTAACTTCAGATATTTGCTAACAACTTTATAGCTGATTAATCAAATATATCTTTGAAAAGTTTTTTAGAAGGTTAGCTGAGATAGTTTGTTAAGAGTCAAACAAAGAGAAAAGATTACCTAACAACTAGTTGTCACTAAAAACCCAATGATTAATTGACACATTAAAAGGCATAATGATCATAAAAACAACAAAATCCTTCAAAATCTTTTAGTTCCCTTCAAAAGGAAGCATTAGATTTATTAAAATAAAATTAAAGAATAAGGATCAATATAACATTTGTTACATAAAAAAATGAGTTATAAATGTTTAGATTTGAATTATTAATTTATTAAATATTATTTATTAAAAATAATTGCATTAAACAATTAATTTTTAAGTCATGGATTTTAACATAGACAACCTTTATCCTCAAGTTTTATCATTATCATTATTAATCATATTAAAGATTCTGCATTATGTCCTAAGTACTTTAGTACTATAATGATTTATTATTACAATAAATAAAGTGACTAACTTTGCTTGTAATTTAATCTAAAGCAGTATTAATGACGGGTTATGGTCAAAGTATATGAATTAAAAGCAAAATTTTATGATTTAGAGGTACTTACATAATTCTTTTTAATAAAGTAAAAATTAGTACTAAGATTAAATTTTTTTTAATGAACTTTTTGACCCGATGATTGCGCCTATGTTAGTCCAATTATTAATCATGGCACATGCAATAAACTAAGGTTTGTACAAATAAAAATGCACATAAAGATTTGGTTAGGGTTTGTAATGGTGTCCCATGCTTGATAAAATTATTGCCCATAAGGCTACCTAACTGATGGGGTCCTTTTATGTAAATGCTATATTTCATACCATAACCATGTCATGCTCTTTCTCAATTAAAATATTTAATTATATGTATATATACGAGTTTATTTTTTTATATTAGTAATATAATTTTTTAACTTCATTAGATTAAAATATTGTTTAATATTTTAAAATTTTAAAACTTCACTAACACTATATAAAATAATTTCTCATGTATTGTAATATTATTTATTTATAATAAATTTTGTGATCGGTAAGAAATCATGATAATTTTGTTAAAAAATTCACATCATAAATCATGATTAAAATTTTTATATTGTAATCGAAAACTTATCCATATAATTAGTGATATTTTTTATAATTAAAAAACCCACAAAATAAAAATAAATTTAATTCATAAAAAAGGAAATAAAAAATTGTTATCACATTTAATTAATTTTTAATTAAAAGAAGAAAAAAAAGAACGGAAGGGAACGGGTTTTTTAGAGGCCCAATATGGAGGATACGAACAAAAAGAGGGCCCCGTTTGGGCTGTAAGGAATGCCAAAGAACCGTGATCAACGGCGCGTGAAATCACGTCTTTATAAAAACTCGAAATTTTAAAATATTTTAATTTTAAACAGAAAATTCAACCCACTTCTGGTTTTCTCACACGCCATAACTGAGCGTGGCCCACACTTTCCTTTTTTTTATTAATTTGAAAAATATTTCTTTCCTTTTCCCTCTGATATTACCATAGTCATTAAAAAAATCTCTTAAAAATAATAATTAAAAAGTGTGACAAAAAATGAAAAATAAATTAAAAAGATTATTATTTCATAAATTATTTTAAAATTTTAAAATTTACAAACGAATGTATTTTATTATACTGATTTTTTAATTTAATGAGTATGTTTCAATCAATCATCTAATTTTATAGGTTTAATTTAAAATTTTCATTTACATATATTAGATAATTTTTCTTAAGAAAATACATGCATGGATCCACTTTATAAACTAAGATATTCAAGAAATTTTTAAAATTTGAAAAGTGAAAAAAAAAATTTTGAAGATAAATTTTTTTGGTTGAAAAATAAAAAAATTTAAAATAATTTTTTTTACTGGACATCCAAAATTTTCTCATAAACATATGTTTTATTTACAAAATTAATAAATTCATCGATAAAATTAATAAATTTATTAATACATTTTTTTTATATATTATAAATTAATATCTCTAAAAAACCATAAATTTGTCATTAATAAAATGTTTTCTTTTATAAATAGAATAAATTGTGAATAAAAAATAAAGCCAAAAAAATTTAGGCTAATAATTTTTGTAGGCTTCTTTTTGGATACAAAATTCAACCTACCAAAAAACACCTACTCATTTGGATTCCACAAACAAAAAAATCTACACATTTTAGGCAAAAGAAAAGGCCACAGAATATGATGATGAGGTCATTGTTGGTATCTAAAATTGGGTCTTTTGGTCTATAAATGTTTTTTTTTTTTTTTTAAATATATATATATATATAAAGAAAGTACAAAAATATTAAAATTTAAATTCATAATATTATTTTTTAAAAAATTTTAATAATTGGTTAACTTTTTAATTAAAAATTATGAAAAAAGTATATTTTTTATTCCTAACTATAAAAAAAAAAAAAAACATAAACATGGTAATCATCAATCATGAAACCACATCATCATAACATGCTAGCAATATCTTTGTGTTAAAGTATCAAAATCATGCATATTTTTTTTATTATATCCAAATTCATGCTTGCAATTAGAGGTGAATAAAAGTTGGTTTGAATCAATTAAATTGATTAAAATTAAATAATTTGATTAAATTAATTTGATTTATTCGATTTTGGTTATAATCAAAATTTTAAATTGATTAATTCAATTAATTTTTTATTTTAAAATTGATAATTAAATTGATTGAATTAATTAAATTTTTAATAAATAAAAAAAAATTAAGATAAATATTTTTATTTAATTTTTTATTGTAAAATATTATTGAAATTATAAAATATTTTAATGATTTAATTTGAATGATTTTGAGTTTGAATTTTATTAAATTAAATTTATGGTTACATAATTATTTATAATAAAAAATTTAATTATTTAATCGAACTGAAACGATTTGATTAGTTTGATTATAATTAATTATTTTAAAAAATTTTATTGATTTAATTATTTATTGAATGAAAATTGATTAAATTGATTATTAATTATTTCAAATTGATTTGACCGAATCGGTTAATTACTAACCCTTACTTGCAATTTTCATGTTTCGTTGGACCCTACTTTTTGAAACACTTTCTGTCCTTTTCTTTTTTTAATTCTCGAATTTCTTATTTACTTTTAGAAATACTCAATTTTATTTCTTTAGACTCAACATGTATTCTCCACAGTTCAATGAAACTTGTAAAAACATCAAAGCAAAGCTACCTTAAATATTTTTGCTTAAATTTTGGTTTCACTATTAACATGCTAGCCAAGAAAAAGTTATAAGAGAGGGCTAAGAGAGATTCTTTTTATTATTTTCCTTAAATTTTTTGGCTTTTCTTTCTTTTCTCAGTGAAGAGTAATCTTCAAAAACCAACCTTTTCCAGCAATTCCCAGTTGCTAAAATCCTTCACATTTTCATTTTCTTCAAAAAAAAAAAAAAAAGAAGATAGTTTTTTTTCAAGCTGTCATTTTCTGGAGGTAAAATTTGTTTCTTGAAAAAAAAGTGTTGTAATTTATATTTGTAAATAGCAGAGAATTTACAGTAAAAGAAACCTGATTTTTGTCTGCTTCTCTCTTTGTTGAAGTTTTTACTTACTTGAACTTGACCCCCACATTCTCTCAATATCTCTTTAAATTTTGAAGCTTTAGAAATTTTTGATGGTTGTTTTCAGTTGCCTGCAGAACAAATACACCACCGCAGATCAAAATCAAGCCTTCACAAGCGGTTTTCGAGGCAGTTTTGTAACTGGTCAGTTTAAGGTAAGGCTCTCTCTCTCTCTCTCTCACTTCTTTACCATTTGTTTTTGCCATTCAAAGTCTAAGTCAGGTTTAATTATGTTTGTGTAGTTTTAGGTTGCAAAAGGTGGGCAGAAACGAGTTTGTGACATTGAATTTTAAGGAATTGCTGTTAGTTTATTAGAAAAATGAGAGATTTTCCATCTTGTTTTGGTGAAAATGGGGTGCAAGTTGCTGATTCTTCATTATCAAATACTAGTAAAAATGCACAGAATTTAGTTACTTGTGTTTATCAATGTCGAATCCGCGGTAGGTCTTGTTTAATAACTGTTTCTTGGAGCAAGAATTTGATGGGGCAAGGCTTAAGTGTATGTGTTGATGATTCTGCAAATCAATGTCTTTGTAAGGTTGATATAAAGCCCTGGTTGTTCTCTAAGAGAAAAGGGTCAAAGAGTTTAGAGGCATATTCTTGTAAAATAGACATATACTGGGACCTTTCTTCGGGGAAATTTGGATCTGGACCTGAACCTTTGGAAGGGTTTTATGTTGGTGTTGTTGCCAATAAGCAAATGGTCTTGCTTCTTGGGGACATGAGGAAAGAAGCTTATAAGAAGACTGGTGCAATTCCTGTTCCTACTACAGCCATTTTTGTGGCCAAGAAGGAGCATGTTTTTGGCAAGAGGGTATTTGGTACCAAGGCACAGTTTTGTGATAATGGTCAAATTCATGATCTGATAATCGCATGTGACATGATTGATGTGAACGACCCCTGCCTGATAATTCGCTTGGATGGAAAGGCTTTGATGCAAGTGAAGCGGCTAAGATGGAAGTTCCGAGGAAACCATACCATTTTGGTTGATGGAATGGCTGTAGAAGTTTACTGGGATGTGCATAATTGGCTCTTTGGAACATCACTTGGAAATGCTGTTTTTATGTTCAAGACATTCCTTGCTGCAGAAGAGAAGTTGTGGGTTAGCCAACCAATCCCTAATCCAACTTCATTGCAATGGTCTTTCTCACAAAGATTTCAGGACTCCAAGTCACAGAATCTTGGCTTTTCACTGGTTTTGTATGCTTGGAAGAATGAGTAGAGAGATTGTGGAACTCTCTCAACACTCAAGTGCTAACAAAAACCTTTAGTGAGTGGTGATCTTTATCTACTCTGTGATTACTTAATATAAACCTGATTAAAAATGGGTCCATTTGTTTTTTGTTCCTCTTCAGTTTTTACTCCGTGGAGTAACTTGAGCTATCAATGGATCAAAGACATTTTTTTTGTTTGTAATCAGTTGTATATCCTCAATAAATTCTTCAATGGATGGTTGTTCAAATCTTCTTCCAGCTGCAGTTTGAGTTGTTTTAGCAGATGGAGAGTTATTGACTAGCTGATTTGAAATCTCCTCTAAGCATCACCATGTAAGTATGGCTTTCATTTTTTTAGTTAACTCAGCTGAAATCAACATGAATTGGTTTAGTTCGTTTTTCGTTTCTTTCTTGTTGTAGCTTTTTATGCCGATTTTAAAATTCTTTTGATACTATAATTGTGCTGAGTTACTCTAAACGAATTCATGAAGGCTGAATAGATTACGAAGTATGGTACAAAAAATCTGCTCTGAATTTCACACAATGAAGGCTTTAAGCTTTTGAACTCCTTAGAGCAGTAGCCAAGCAGGCACCCTCCTCAGCATCTTGACTTTTTAAATTTTCCTTTGAACTCTGCAAATAATTCATTTGATTTTTCAGTTGATGTTCCATTGTCATATTCTTACAACTAGGAAATTAAGGTGATATGTTTTGTTTTTCTCATCTGTCAACATATTCAAATGTTTGGTTGTTTTGAACCCGAAACTTAACTCAATTAGTTCATGTAATCACTTTTAAAAGTGATATGTAACAGGTTTAAGATTCAAATCTTTGCACTTACGATCTCTTTTCATATATTCCCAAATTGTGTCTTCTTTTGTAAAAAAAAAAAAAAAAAATTTGGATTGATTAGGACTTCCTATCTCCTGCCTGCCATGCATAAAAGTTATTGCAAGTTATACAGCTCTGCAGGAGCATAGGGCTGCGGATCAATGGTCATCTTTCTCACAAGTAACCTGGTTCGATCCTAACTAGAGAATCAGCCATGTACCTTGATTTTTTTTTTTTTGTAAGACTAATGATTTCACTTGCCATCAACGACTTCTCCAACTAGCAGCTTGTATCATTATATACCCAATGCAGCATATGTTTGTAAACTGACAACAATTTTGAGTTCTTAAAGTGTTAGAGGACACTTTAATAGCTCTATCTACTAGGGTTTTGGTATGATGTTCAAATCGCAACATTTAATAATAATTTTTTATATAAAAAAAAAATCATCATTAGCCCTACTTTTCTTATCAATTATAATTCATATTTGTAAGAAATATTTGTGAGTAAAATCAAATGGAGATTTTGGAGTGTGTTCTTAAGATCATTCCAAAAGAAATTAAGGTTAGACAAAATTTTAAAATACCCTTCACGAGATTATTAAAAAAATCATCGTTTCTTTTTTTGGATCTTATAAATTAAAGTAAAATTTTGTTAAAAATATATCTCGAGTTCATGTAAATTGCCCCCTGTTTTTTTCTTTAATTTTTTAAAAATAAAAACTATAATTTTCATTTCGTTTGCCCTTCTAATCATATTTTTTTTAGGAATATAAAATCCTATTAAAAGGTCAAAAAAGAAAGAAATTAATGAATTGAAAGTCAACGTGGTAGCCGCAGATGATCTGATTGGTGGTGCTGCCATGAAATCCAGAATTAAGGCACAAAACACTTTATATTCCCTCTCTGTTCACGGAGTTTTCTCCATGTGCAATTTCGTCCTTTATGTCCCCGACAAATCCGTTCAATAAAAAATGTTTGCCCTTGTTGGATGTTTCTCTCGTCAAATTTATCTTCTAATTATTTCTGTAAAGCTTTTTTTTTTTTTTTTAATTCTATTTTATAAAACCTGTTCAGGACTTTAACTCAGCTATAATTTTGGCAGAAAAATCATAACAAATTTTAGAAAAAAATGGGTTTAAGCCAATATTACTATTCATGAATTTATATTATATATATGTTTTATGTTAAATATATATATATAAAATTATTGTATTATAATTCGTGTTGATATATTAAAAATAAAATATATTTTTTATTTTAATCAAATTTATATATTATTTTTATTAAAATTTTAAATAATAATATTTATTTTTATATTATTTTTAATATTAATTAATATTTTGTTTTTTTAAATTTAAATATTTTAACATTCTAAAAATAGAATGCAAAATTCTCTAAACTTGTTTATAAATTATAATTTTGTATATTTCCAAATGAATTAATCTGTTAATTTTATAATTTAAAATCTATCAAATAAAAACTGGATTTTCCTTTTTTTTTTTTTTTTCAAAATGTTTGTTTCATTTATCCCTCAAACATAGGCTTGGTCTCGTACTTGAACTACATGGATGGGCCATGGATTTTTCTTTTTCTGATAGCGTCCGTGATTAGCGTTTGAAAACGCGTTTTTGGATTCCAAAGGTAACAGCCCATTCAATGATAATGTCCCTAACTCACCTTCCTTTTTATTACTAGTATTTTTTACTTTTTTTTTTATAATAATTACTAGAATTATTATTGGGATAATGTTTTATATATTTTCATTATTTTTTATTAATAATAGGATTTTATTTGAATTTAAACTATTTTATGTTCTACAATAAAGTTAAAATTATTTTTATAATTTTTTTAAAAAGAAAGAATAAATTTAGTATAAAGTAAAAATATTAAATTGTTGAAGTAATATTATTAATTAACATTTTATTATACATAATATAATGTAAAATCAATATAATTATCAAAATTAAATAATATTTGTGTAAGGTCATAAAAGTAATTTTCAAGGTTAAGATATATTAAAAATAAATAAAAAAATTTTTTAAAAGAAATTGAGCATTATGGGAATATTGATTAAATACATAAAAATGAAAATATGGCCGATGACGAGCTGGCGCACTAGTGATAGGTTCCCTCTGGAGTGTTCCTTTTTTAGGCTTCCAGGTGGCATCCAGCTGTAGGATGCCATTGCGAAATTACTTCAGAACCCTTCAGGCGGCGCCTTTTTACCCTGCTCGCCAGATGCCCTCGCTTCCCTCTAAATTGCCCTCAACTGACCGTTTTATAGCCCCCAACGGTCACTTGCCACAAATAAAGACATAGGAAAAAGACAAGAGAGTCAAAACACTAATGGACCACAAAAGGGTCATTTAAGGGCCAGGTTGAGGGCATTTCCGGTATTTAGCTGTATCTCAATTGAAAATTTTAACTCTACACATAGCCACGGCAGAAGGAAGAAAGAAGAAGCTGAGATTCTGCATTCCAACTCATTGGGTTTACTCATTGAGTTCCGTTGCAATTCTTGAAACTGAGTGAACGAAACAAACGAGTCATGGGCGAGTCAAGTGACTCAGTGTCCATTGATATTGATATGGTTCCTTTTAGAGGGAAGGTAAAGTAATTAACTAAAAAAAGGGCCAAGAACAAAGCTTCAATCTTTTTCTCTCTTTTTTCCTTTTCAAGCTTTCTTTTGTTCTTTTATATTTTATAAATATAATAATATTTTTCTCTTTTTTTTTCAGGAGTTTTTGGTGAAAACAAGTAGAGGTTCTTTATCTGTTTTTGTATGTGGTGATCATGAGAAACCTGCTTTGATAACTTACCCAGATGTTGCTCTTAACTGTATGTTTTTATTTTTTGTTCTTTTTTTAATGGAAAGATTGATACTTTCATAGTTTTTGTTTGGTTAGCTTTGATGGGTTTGCTTCTTTTACTTAATACATGTTGAAATTGAATTGAGTTTTGCAGCTTATAGAGTGTTCTATTTCTTGATTAATTGCTGCTAATTGTTTTTATTTTAAGTTGTTTAAGTGGGTTGTCCTTGTTTTTAAGACTTCAATCGATTCTTTTACTGATTTTTGAACTTCTTTGTTTACGCCTTTTCGGGTTTTAATAGATTACTTATTTTGGTTCCAAATGTTGAAGTTGGAATATCTTTTAATATGTGGATGTTTTGTGCTTTTTGGATTTTTATAGACATGTCTTGTTTCCAAGGCCTGTTCGTTTGCCCCGATGCCGCTTCTTTGTTGCTTCAGAACTTTTGCATTTACCACATTGACGCCCCAGGGCATGAGGTCAGTATTAGAAATGGTTTTTGTTTAAACAATGAGTAGTTGGTTCAATTGGGGTTTTCCTAATTTGGTGATACTAATAGAATCTGTATGCCATTTGTTTAAGAGTTCTCGCAGTTGGGAGCTAATGTGATATCTTCAGACGTTCCATTGCTCAGTGTGGATGACTTAGCTGATCAGGTTGCAGAAGTTCTTGATTTCTTTGGGTATGTAAATGCTTGTCAGTTTCTCATGACCCTTAACCCTTTTCTACTCCTAAGCATTATGATTAAAAGGGAAATGATAGGACTACTTTTTTTTTTAATCTTTTAATGAAGTTCATTTGTAAAATTTCCTATTCCAACGCATTCAAAATGATTCTGGGATACTGAGGGTCATTTTACACTAAAGTTATAGCTGTGTTTGCTCAATTGGATTAACTGTGTCCCCCCCACCCCCCCACCCCCCCCCAAAAAAAAAAGAAAAAACACACACACACAAACACTTTTTACATATGCTCTCTGTTAAACGTCTGATGTTTATCTGATAAAAGTTTATACCACCTTGGCAACTGTTGGTCTCTGATGTAATATATGTGCTCTTAGATGCTTAATTTTGTTTGGTATTACAGGTGTGCCAAAACTTTCAGCTATATCTTATTTCCTAGGTATTTTTCCCTGTAAAATTATAAAAAGCGTAGCAGATGGATCTGATGGGAATAATAGAATTTGATAGAATTTATTTGCTTTGCACAAGGTCCCATGAATGAGTTTGTATGTACGTTCATGATCCCACCTTGTTGTAGGAAATAGCTCTTCCTTCTTTTTCTCAACCCTTTTTAATGTTATAGCTGATTTTAGTTTTTAATGTCAGGCTGAAAAGAGTTCTATGCTTGGGTGTAACAGCTGGGGCTTACATCCTTACACTATTTGCAGTAAGTTGGCACAAGTTACAAAAGTCAGTAAATATTTTTTTGTGCTGATATTATGATGCTGTGAATGGTCTCATGTGTTTTCTTCCTCTATGGCAGATGAAATATAAAGAGCGAGTGCTTGGATTAATTCTCGTGTCTCCTGTTTGCAAAGCTCCTGCATGGACTGAATGGTTTTACAACAAGGTTCTAATTTGCACCTCATATAATTAAAAGTGTAATGAATTTGCTTTGTTCTAAATTTTCTCCTTTTAGGTGTTGATGAACTTGTTATACTTTTATGGTATGTGTGGTGTATTAAAAGAATGCCTTCTTCAGCGCTACTTCAGTAAGGTAATCCATGTTACCATTTTATTGTCATTTTCTGATATTTGTTAATGTGGTAATTGTGGAATTCTTCATGTAGGAACTCAGGTACGGTGTGCACAGTGCAGAATCTGAGATCATACAAGCTTGCCTAAAAGTAAGGAAAATGATAAGAGACAAACACTGACACTTATTCTTTCTGCAATATTGTTAATGAGATATCTGTATCCTATGGTTATGACTTGGTTAGGTTATTGATGTATGAACCACAAGTTGAATAGATTGCAGTGTAGAGGATGTCAATCTATAAATGAAACAAGAAGTCACATCTAAGCTCAGAGCTGTCACACATCCATATTTTTACTTTAAATGATACAACCTGAAAGTTTTGGTGGTCCTTTTGGTAATGTGATTGCAGTTGCTGGATGAAAGGCAAAGTCCGAATGTTATGCGCTTTCTTCAAGCAATTAATAAGTAAGCTCATGTCACTTATTTGTCTTGCCTGACCTTATTTTCCTTTCTCAAACTCCCTTATCTAAGTAATACTCTCTCTCTAGTTTCTGTGAACTTGTTTCCATGAAAAATGAATGTCCAAACATGTGTGCGGGCACAAACCTCTCTTTCTGCTTTCATATAGCTAAGTAGATTTACCATAGCATTGAAAGTGAAGTATATATGCAGGAGACATGATCTTACAGATGACTTGAAGAAATTGCGGTGTAAGACTCTTATTTTTGTTGGTGAAAGCAGTCCATTCCACTCAGAATCTGTGCATATGAGTACCAAAATAGGAAGAAAGAATTGCACTCTCGTCGAGGTAGAATGCTCTTTGCAGATTTGATTCTTTTCCATTTCTGCTTCTAAGCCAAGTCAACTATGAAAATATTTTCCGTTTAAAATGGGATGTGATGTACCAGCACATGCATAATTTTGGCTGATTATCTTCACCAGGGATTTTGCTTGATTTCTGTTCTTTTATCAGGTTAAAGCATGTGGCTCATTGGTAACAGAAGAGCACCCATTGGCCATGCTAGTCCCAATTGAGTTCTTTCTCATGGGGTTTGGTTTCCATCGACAACCACATTTTGCTACATCATCAAGTAATGGTTCAAACCCTTCCAGCCCGTCAAGCCATTCGTGCATAGCTCCCGAACTTCTCTCCCCAGAGGGCCTAGGGATCAAGCTTAAACCCATCAAAACCCGCGCAGATATTGAAATTTGATGAAGGGTAAACTGTTTCAAAACTATTTGTAGTTTTACACATATCTGATGTAACACTCCATGCTTTGACATTGTGCTCATTCCATCAGTTTGTAGAATAGCTTTGAGGTTTAGCATATTCTTTGATTGTGTTGGTGGGAGAAGGCTTTGCTGTTCTTAAAAGTAGAGTTCATTGATGATATCTTGTACTTGAAGAGGATAGGATCATTCTTTTGAGATGATAGATTCATTTTGTAACTTACATAAGCGTTGTCCACATGAAAACTTTGTAAGTTTAGATATTGAAAAGAAGAATCAACATTGGTTTTTCATTATTTCATTGTAAGAAAATTGCTTTATTATTTTTTTGAGCAATAAAAGATTTTTGAGCTTCGCTCGAACTTAACAAATTCGTAAGTCTTTTATGAGCTGAAGAAATTGCTTTATTGGTTAAAATACTAAAAAACTTTATATATATTTAAAAATTTTCAAATAAGCGTTTATTTTTTAATATACTTATAGAGTCTTTAAAGTATTATTTTTTAATTAAATCTTTATTTTATACGAAAACAATTAAAATTCCTTAGATAATAAGAGTTTAATTAATAAAAATAATGTTTTTAAAACTTAATTAAATAGAAATAGTATTTTAAATAATTTTTTTCTAAAAAATTAGAAAAATACAAAAATTATTTTAATATTTTAGCCATAATTATTTTGTTTAAAACCAAAATTTGTCAAACTCTAAAGCCCAAATTCAACAAGTCAAAGTTCTTTCTACCATCCCAACCCCAAAGAGGCCCATCCCATTCGGGCCGGACCCAATTTTACTAAGTTTTTTTTTTTTAAAGAGAAAAATAAAAAAAATTTGCTTTTATTTTCCCGCCTTCCCGCTTCCTCAATCAAAAAATTTTGTTTGTGCTCAAAGACTTTTGTGGTTTCCACCAAACACAAGGAAAAAAGAAAGGGAGCGTTTGGTTGTTTTCTTGACCTAAGGCTCTGAGCTCTTAAGCTTTCAGCCTTCAAAGAGAGCAGAGGATGTGGAGGCTTTGGTGAAAATGGATACACCAGATAAAACCCAGATCACTCCAACTTCTTCTCTTTCCAAATTTGAGGTCTTTTTTCTCCACAACTCTTAACTTTTTTTTTTTTTTTCAAATTAAGTTTTATGAATTTGGGTTTTGTTAGTTATGTTCGTTTAGTCAGAAAATAAGTTAATACCCTTTATTTGTGTGAAAGCGTTTTGGTCATTTGGGGTTTTAATACTTATTTGTTATGTGGGTTTCTTCCTGTGAAGGTTCTTTTGCTTTATTTTAGTTTAAATTTGCTTGATCTTCTCATTTTAGGTTAATTTTGGATATTTTAGTTTGAATTGTGATGGGTTTTTGACTTCATTCTTGTTAATGCCCTTTACTTTGAGTTTTAGAATAGATTACTGCTATAACTTCAGGCCTTAGGGTAGTTGTTGAATTGAAAAAACAAAGCTCAAAAATCCATGAAGGGAAGGTGGAAATTTCCACTAATTGAACCAGACTTCATGTTGTAGAATGTTGGGATTCTCTACCATTCTAAAATTATTCAATCTCAACCATCTATGGCGTGGAGGTCAACATGGAACTTGTGCAGGGCCATAGGGACTTTATGCTCATGGATGGTTGAGATTTCGTAATTGACTAATTTTATACAAATTATTGCATTTGATGTGCTATTGAAAGTGTTGGCGATATTCGAATTTAGTTTGTATGAAATGATATGAAAATGATACTTTTTTCTGGTTTGGTTTAGATTACTTTATCTTTTGCTTGGTTGTGTTTGTTTTCTGGTGCTACTTGCTCGTTTGTTAATTAGGTTATTGAAGACTTAAATGTTGTGTTCTCCCTTTGCAGGATTCTCCTGTCTTTAAGTACATTGACAGCCTTTCACCTATTGAGCTAGCCAAGTCCAGGCAGAGCGATAATGTTTTCAGTTCACTAGCCTTTTTGTCCCCTTCATCTTTGTTTCCTTCCCCACAGATTAGTTGCCACAGGGAATCCAGGTTTTTGGTTAAAAGGTAAAACTAAATGTCCTTATTGCTATATTTAGTTCATGATTTTAAGTGCTCTGAATGATGTTTGTTTCAGGCATCATTTCTCGGCAGCTTCAAACTCTAGGGTCCTCCAGAGTGGTAATGAATCTAATACGAGTGAGGGAGGTTCAAAAGCTGTTGAGCAATCTGACTTGTATGATGAAAATCTGGGATTTCTCAATAATGACAGTTCATCCAAAGGAATTAGCAGTGATCTGCTTGATGAGCAATTGGATTTAGTAACTGAGTTGCCAAGAACCTTGAAATATGATTGTGGGAGTCCTGATGGTAACTTGGAGCCTTGTGATGAGATGTTTAAAAACACAAGCGTGGAAGTGGCAGGACAAGAGAGATCTCCTTTCCAACGCAATAGGGATGAATGGGAAGAGAGGCAACAGTCATTTCAAAATGAAAGGGATTTGCGTAAAATATGTCGAATTAAGTGGAGTGAAGAATCAGCTGGAGGGGTGGCAATTGTTTCTGATGTTGCTGATATGTTGACAATGAATTCATCTATCATTCATGAAAATACTGATGGGCAGGATATGAGAACTGCAGACTCAGGGACAACCTCTTTTATATCAACTATGCTGCAGTTCCCACTAGATAATGCCAATAATTTAGAAAATGCAGAATCTGGTGATCCTAGTTGTTCTTGCAAACAAAGCGAATTTGGTGAGCCTGTAACAGACCAGACACCTGGCATCCTATCTACTTGTCTACTGGACAAACTAGTAGTCAGTGATTCAGGTTTGAAAAAGGATGACAAGGGGGAGAAGTGCAACCAGTCCAGCCATCAGGTTAAATTAAAAAACTAGTGAAAATGCTTTTTTGATGCAGACTGCATATTTAAGATAGGATAATATTTTATATATATTGTCGATTACTTTATAGAAAAAGAAAAGATGATAGCATAAATGAGCCAATCATTGTTGTGAAATGTTACCTTAAATTATGTAAGTTCCTTATAATTGTATGTTTATTAAGGATGTTTTCTATAATAGTGTGGTTTCTGAAATGTTTACACTATTTGTCTTGCTCGGTGCGTTGGCACTTTTATATAGTTATATTTTATGTTATTCTCTCAGCAGCGTAGCATACGGAGGCGCTGTCTGGTGTTTGAGAAATCACCTGGTTTTGGCTTGCACTTGAATTCTCTTCCAAACATCCCAAAAGGTAGTTTTTCTTTAATGGGAGACTCTAGCTTCTGAAAAGCAATTGATATGCATGTTGGGCTTCTTGACATTTTTTACTTCTCTGACTGCAGGTCAGAATCCTCTTAGTAAATCAACTCTAAGCTCTATGAAGAGGGGTGAGATTCCTCATGACAAGAGAACTGTGGTTACAGAAAATTCTTCCGAGACACCTGCTACTTTTGGTGGCAATGAGGCTGATGATAATAGTCCTGAAAAGAAGAGGCATGTATAAGATTACTACTTTTTAAGATTTGCATCCAAACAGCTTGATAGACAAATTGATTTGAGCTTAATACTGTGCAGGCAAAAGTTTGAACTTGACGAGGAGAGTGCTGCGTGCAAGCGGTGTAACTGTAAGAGATCAAAATGCTTGAAGCTGTAAGTCTGTCATATTTATTTAAATCAATATTTAGGGTCAGTGTGCATATTCTTCAAGTGTTTCACCAAGTCTATTTTGGGTTAATTCCTCCATTTGTAATACTCAAGACCATCAGGCCTTTAATTTCACGGAATTAGAACTTAGTTGAACCAACAGTTTGTAACTTCATTTCCTACATCTAAAAATATAAGATATTCAGGCCCAACTTTATGGCGCTAAATATTGTGAAACTTGGTTCTTAAAAATCTCTAGCTGCAGTAATACAAGGCTATGCTGATGTTAAGGGTTGTTAGTTCTACCTTTTTAAAGTTATTTGTTTGACTTTGTAATATCATATTAAACTGTTTCAATTGTAATAGTGAAAGTTTTAAAAGCTAGGAAATAGTGCTTCAGCCTGCAAAAGATGGCTCTCCGATTGGAAGCACTAAGTTCTGCTGCTAATATATTGCTTCTATGATTGCTTACTTGCTTAGACCTAAAAAGAAGATTCAAGATTCTCAAAACATACAAGTTTGGAAGTTACAGAACTTAGTCAATCATATTCCAAATATGGCTATAACTGGACTGAGAAGAGTGAAGAAGGTTCTGGGTTTATGGTTAAGCTAAATAAGCAATTACTTTGGAGAGCACACCTCATTTTATCTACCTTGATTAACTGGGGATAAATTACTAGCTCAACCTCATTCTCTTGCACATGACTTGAATGATAGAAGTGTTTCAAATTGCTTTTGATTTCCACAATTACTTAATGAATCAATTTCCAAAAGCCTATTAGAATGAAATGTGATTTAACGATCATGTTTTACTTGTTTTCATCTACTTATTTAGATATTTATATTTGGACTTGGCGTGGTTCTCTGCTGCCTAGTTATTATCGTTACTTATTTTAGTCACTGCCATCAATTTTCATCTGTTTCTTGAACTTGGGATTTAACTGCTTTCCATATTCTTTACCTAGTTCTACTGGCTACATTTTATGATACAGTTATTGTGACTGCTTTGCTGCTGGTCTGTACTGTATTGAGCCTTGTTCATGTCAAGATTGCTTCAATAAGCCAGTTCATGAAAATGTGGTTTTAGAGACTCGCAGACAGATTGAATCTCGCAATCCACTAGCATTTGCTCCCAAAGTGATTAGAAGCACAGACCGTATTTCAGACTCCTGGGTTAGATTCTTTTTTTATGATTAAGCTTCTGGATATTAGAGTAGCATCAAGGTCAGCAAAGTACATTGCTCATCTCTTATTTTGGTGTGTGACTTTATATTTGAATAAGGCCACATGAGAAAGGGGAGTTCAACCTCGGATGTTGACCCTCCTTTGGATGGTTAACAACTAGTTGGCCGTGTTTGGATTCTTAGCATGATCTCATCTGACATGGCTCAGAATGTTGTGATGCTTTGTCAACATAACTATGAGAAGAGTGGGCTTGGATGACAGTTTTGCCAAATTAAAAAAAGTGGTCTCTTCTTTTGGCAATTCTAATTTAATCACATCAAAATGGTGTTGCTTATGCAGGGTGAAACTAACAAAACTCCAGCTTCAGCCAGGCATAAAAGAGGATGCAATTGTAAAAGATCAAGTTGCTTAAAGAAATACTGTGAATGTTTTCAGGTTTGTCAATTCAGTTCATTCTGCATCGAATGTTTTCTTCACCAATCTGATATGGTTGTTTCTTCTGTCAATAAAGGCTGGTGTTGGATGCTCCCCCAGCTGTAGATGTGAAGGTTGTAAAAATAGTTTCGGTCGGAAGGATGGTGAGTCTTACCTGGTGTATTTTTGGTCGAATATAAATCTTAATGACTGGAACTGATATTCATTTTTCTTCCCCTCTCCATTGTAATTCTTTTCAATTATCTTAATGTGGCAGAATGTCTGACATGGCAAATACATTCCACTTTTCTAGCATTTCCTAATGTGGCCTTTTTTTCCCACTAGGAGGTGATGAATCTGAATCTGATGGGGAGGACTTAGAAGCCTGCGAAAGGAATGCATCGGAGAAAAAATCACACGACATTGTAATCAATAAAGATGAAGAGTATCCAGATCTTTCAGTAGCTTCCTCTGATATTTCCAGGTACTATTTCACCCTTTCTTAGATTAATTAGGCTACCCTCATACTAAGATTCATTCAAGTGGTCAAGTCTACACCATTTCGCAGGCTGCCATTTGCTTATAGTGGGAAGCTTGCCGGATCTTTTTCCCATTCAATTAGATCATCTCCTCAGTTGTGCACCAACCAAGAAAATGGCTCATTATCTGATTCTTCCTTATGTCAGCCCAAGTTCGATTCACATCTCCAGGCAATTCCTGAAGATGAAGCTCCTGAGGTGCTGAAACATAAATGCTTACCTCCTGTTCAGAAACCAACCTCTCCAAACTGTAAGAGGGTTTCACCTCCACATCGTGAGTGCAGTTCATCTGCCGCATGGCGTAGTAGGAAGTTGATACTGAGATCTGTCCCTCTTCCATCATTCTCTCCACCATGAAAGTTGCGACTTTCCAGAACACGTAAAAGTTATCATTTTCTTAATGGTGCTGGTGTTATCCAGCAATGGGATTTTGAGGCAGTTACTTTCCATATATAGTAACAATGTACTTCCACTATGTGTAGTGCTTAATACTCTAGCTCTGGAACTTTGAAATTTCGTATCTTCAGAGTAGGTTCTGTTTATAAAAGTGGAATTCTTGTAATATTATCTTCGTATTTCTTCTTGTCTCCATAAATTGTAGCCAACAATCATAATGATTTTATTGTTTGAGTGTATGATATTTACCCTGGTATGTTGCTTAAATTTTATCCAGAAAAATTGATTAAAGTTTCTGCAAATTTTCAATTATCTTGGAATAGACAAAGATTTTGACAACTAATTCACTGTAAAATGCGCATGTACCACATTCCAACAGCTAAATATGGGAGGCAAACCCAAAATTTAATGAGGGATGATATAAGAACAAAAAGCCCCCATCTAGTCAAAATCATAAAAAAAAAATTGATAAATAAAAACTTTCTAGGCTTGGTAGCCAAGCTAGTGCTTCACATCATTCATGATAATGAAATATAGGGCAAAACTTCCAGAAGATGTATGCTTAACCAAGCTAAAAATGGAAGTATATCACTATGCTAATAATACAAAGCTCTCTTTAGGCGCCAACAACCTCAGTTTCCCCCTCTGCCATTGTCTCTCCAGTTGGCCTCTCCAACTTCACACCAAGATCCTCTGAATAGTCACCGTGAACCTGCAAATATTAATGTTGCATCAAAAAAGAGTTAATGAATCCTACCCATGACAGCCAAGAATTGAAAACTGAATTTTGCACATGATACAACCATTTGATACCAAGTTTACAGAAAACCAGAACATACCTCCATCAACTTGCCAAGATCAAACTTGGGAGCCTTCAGGATCTTGACTTTACGAATGAAAACATTCTGTAGGGGATAGATGCTTGAGGTAGCCTTCTCAATCTCTCTGCCAATTACCTCAGGGATGAACTTTGCAACAAGTTCTTTCAGATCACAGGTTGATGCCTGGTTAACCATAATTTCCCTCATCTTCCGGCGAATCTGACAAAAGAACAGCCAGTATGAAATATTGAAGTTAGGTGAAACTACTGCTTAACTAAACAAGTCTAGAATGAGAAATTTGAACCTGACGGATCTGGCTGGACTGAGCATAACAGGTTCGCTTGACCTGGTTTGCACGTCTCTTGGTAAAAGTGATACAGAACAACCTCAAGCTGTAATTGTCAGTAGTCTTAACATCAACATGGGATTCAATCAAAGTCTGCCACTTGCGCACCAAAGATCGGAGCTTGTCTGTAGTGAAGTCCATTCCCTAAAATTCAGAAAAGAAAAGTTAAAATTCTTCATTCAAACAGGACTGTATAAAGATAACCAAAGCCTATATAATTGTGATAACAAAGTAAACCAAAATGCTACCTACCCAGAAGTTTGTGAGAACATTCCTCCCTTGCACATCCTCAGCTCTAAGTCAGATCTTCCTGTAAGCTTGATCTTCATCCTTCTGAAGGTCAGCCAGAGAAACCTCAAACACTCTATGCTTAAGTCCTTCAGAAGCAATCTGTCATATAAAAGAACCCAGCAAATTAGTCAGCAGCAAACATAAAACAATTAATTGAGCTAAAGTCCCCACATAAGTAGAATTGCCAAAGGTTGAAAGATAAAACCAAAATTTGACAGACACAATTTATACTTTTAACTTCAAAAACACTTAAAACATGTAATTCTCTCAATCCAACTACACAATTCTCTACCAATTAATTAATATAAACCCAAAAATACCATAAGCATTAAAGTAGTAGCTATAATTAATTGCATCAAATGTTTGCAGTATCATTCTTAATTCATGGTAAGCATCAGCTAATTAACTCTATTCCATTGACATTTATTTTCAATTCCCAAGTATGGATTAATTCCATCAGCTCATTTCCAATACAATTAACAGCATCCAAACAATGAAAGAGACAAAACATTTGAGCATTATAAAAAAAAGAAAAAAAAAAAAACCCAAAATAGCTAACCTTTGTTCCCTGAGTTCTAGTAACAAGAGTTTTGCCAATGTTCCTTTCATTGAACATTGAAGGTGCCTTGATATCATACCAATCCTTCTTTGCAAAAGGATCAACTCTGTTTCCAAAACCCCAAAAATAAGAAAAACCATTAAAATTACAATCCAACAGAAAAGGTATAAAAAGATCAGATCTTTAACAAAGAAAAAAAGAAACTTTTTTTTTATTATTATACTCACGCTTCTTTTTGCCTCCCTTCTTTCCCTTTGATATCCTCTTGTTCTTCCTGAAAAAAATAAAAATTCAAAATTAATCAATCAAAACTCTAATATACCTACATTCTGAAATAAAGTTAGAATTTGGGAGAGAGGGATTACCCGACGGCCATGATTATAAGAGAGGGTGATTACGGTTTCTTGAGAGTGCGGGTGTAAGTGAGAGAGAGCTTAAAATGAAACCCTAATCCTTAGAAACCCTAGAGTTACAATGGTATTTTTATCTTTTATGGTCGGCGGGTTCTGTGAAATGCCACCGTTTTTTGGCGGGAATTTACGGAAATGCCTAAGCGGGTTAAGGCTTGTTTCGGTGTTCTTTTTTCTGTATACAAACCTTTTGAAATTGTCTTAATTCTCCTTTTTTACAAAAAAAAAAAAAAAAATTTCTGTTTCTTTATTACTAAAAAACAAATGAAAATTTTGAAAAATAAAAGAAAAAATATATGGCTTACAAGAAACTATTTGTTGCTATTTTGATGAATAACATAATGAACTTTTTAATCTCCAAATTAACAAATGATGGATTCGATCTCTTAATCACGCTCGTAAAATTAAAAAATTTCATTATCAGTAAATTAAATCTAAAATTAATAATTTGCTATGCCATTGCTCAAATGGAGAAGTAATATCCAACTGTTGCATCCTACTTGTGTTCATAGATAGTGAATGACTGGTTGAAGGACTCTCTTTGTAACAAATACATTTCACAAAAATGTGTAAAAATTGTTTGGAAAAATCATGGTTTACCCTTTTGCTACTGGTAAAAAAGAAATCACAAAACATTACAATCAGCTGCTTTGCTTAAATCATTTTCACATGCATTTTAATCTACTTTCAAGGACTCATAATATACTGCTGTAAATAGAGTTATTGTATTGGTATCATTCCTTCAAACTCTGCTATCTTATCATTTAGGGTTTCCATCAAAATAAAATTACGGAGGAGGAAGGAAAATTTTTTATCTCATGAAATTTCTAGTTTTTATGGCAGTATCCTGAATAATACATCAAGACCTCAAAATTGAGGACTAGAATGGAAAAAAATAAGGGGAAAACACATGTATGGTGAAACATAACTCAAATGTAGCAAAGACTGAAACATAATGAAAATTTAGAACAGAAAATTATCTTCAAAACCTGCTTTCAATTTTAGAGCATGGGGCAATAATTAAAGCCTTCAATCGATGTCATTGGCGTTAGACTAAATTTTCAAACTTTTTAAAGCAGAAGTAAGCAGACCGAGTTTGTCAGCAGCTTTCTGCTTGTAGTCTTTCTCCAAGGCTGTTGCTGCCAAAGTGTGGAGCTCTGGACTCTCCTTGTCTTCCTTGTTCCTTCCTTTTGAAAGCTGTGCTATGGCCGAGGTGCACTGAATAAGAGGGAAATACTTTATTTCAGAAAGATAAAATCCAAAGGACATGGAGAAGAATGAGCGTGAAACTATTTTTTAATGAGATTTCAGTTAGTGTAAGGATAAAAGCCGATGTATGCGTCTGATAAATACTGATGCATCATAATTCTTAAAACCAAGAAAAGGAGCTTACCAAGCAAATTCCAAGAAGTGCTCTGGTATTCTTTCCCCCAGTCAAATCTATGGTCGATGCATAATATTTCTTGGCGGTCTGAAGATTTTCGAGTCCACCAATTGTGTAAAGCACCTGTTGATGAATGGTATAATAAACGATCATTGCAACAATGTTTCTGAGGAGAATCAAAAGAGTTCCAGCTAGAAGTCTTTTTGCTAAATGCAAGTGGAAAGTAGTATCTTGTACAAACTGAGATCGATTAACACCCATCAAGTAATTCCCTTCTTGGTTAGCTAGGAACCATTGTTGTTCTATGGTGAATTCATGGTCCTCACATTCTTGCATAACAACACCAACTATGAAAGTGGTTCTTTGTTTTATGGTCTTTATATTCTTACAGAAACATAATTACTACGGAACCAGTTCTTTGTTTGGAAGATTAATCATGAAAGAAGAAACTAAAAGAAGAGCATTTGCAAAGAGAAGTAGAACATTATTCTCCAGAAAACTTGGAATTTGAGAGAACTAATGAAATTGCATTCTAGATTCTTAATATATAATAAAGTAACTTACATCAGCATAGGCCAAATGATACAATGGAACCGTAGATTGAGATAAAATAAGCTCCTCATAGCAAAATGCTGCTTGCTTGTACCTGATTTATCAACAAAAATACAAAAAAGATTAAGCTACTGCTATGTTACAAATTGGCAACAAAAAGGGAGATAATATCAAGCCACATAAATTAACACTCACATTTGTAGGGACACATATATCTCTGCAAGTTCTCTCCAAGCATCATGATCTGCCATAAATCTAGCAAAAGAAAAAGGAAATTGAATGAAGTTTGCTCTTCTGAAACACAAAGATGTGTGAATTGAGGAAAGGGAGAAAGAGATCGGCAGTTTTCCGAGATATTTTACATTTCAAGATATTTATTAAGCCACTCAATAGCCCCTGAAATATTTCCTTGAGCCTTTGCCATGGCTACTTTCCTCTTATGTACTACCTGCAAAGGAATTGTTGGTCCTTTTTTATTTATAAGAGTAATAGCCCATAATATTTATCAATAAAAAAAGAAGACCATTAAGATTGATTCAGTGGTTGCAGAATTTACTTGATCGAGCGGATTGTCCTCTAAAAGGCTTGAGTACACTTTTTCTGCCTCAGCCCAGGATCCCTTTGCTTCAAGCAACATGCCCTCCAGCCTACCTGTAGACCATGACAAAACAAAATCACTAGGCCATCCAATGTTAAGAGCAAACGAATCCAGCCACGAGCATCCCTTCGAACCCAAAAGAACCCAAACTAATATAAGAACAAATTCATCATTCTTTTTCATGCCATAATAACACTAGTGTGTAAGCCAATAAGGTTTGGGGTAGAATATTGGCCA